CTTAGAACGCGACATTTTAGAGACTTTCTTTAACGAAAAATGTGCTTTATCTTGTATGACTTTTACTCATGTCGATGTTAATTCATATTTCGAATTCCATAATTCCTTATTTGTGTAATTTATTCAACTTGCAAACCGTTATTCAAGGTTATTTAGTTGTAATCTTTAATTATTTTTTCCTTATTTCGTCACACGGACTGCATGAAAGAATCGGTACATGCGCGAGGAACTGAATTCTTGTGAGATTAAAGATTTTCACGGTGGTGAGGGTTATGATGCTATTCTTCTGGGTTTTGGCCCCGTGCATACCCATCGATATATGACAACGTTTTGCAGGAACATACTATCTACATCTTCAGCCCTGAAGATGGAGACAGTATGTTTCTCCGAAACGTTGACATATACCGACGAGTTCATACGCTACCAACCCACAAAAAAACGTCAACTAAATTATTCTTTCGTTGTTAGTAAGATGTGTCTTCATTGTTAATATGATTATAAATAACAGAACAGGAACTGTGGTGTCTCTTCTGCTCCGGTCCATTTAACCCCAATCCTCTCTAATATCCCTTCTCTGCCACCTCCTCCGTATCTTCTCGCACTTGAGGCACGCATTCTTGTGCACACTGTACGCACCAACACGTGTTCCGTTGTGGGTTGTAGTCATGCATATTTTATGCTGGCTGTATATACGACCAAGTGCGGATTGAGGTTCTTGAATATGTCAGTAGTGATTTCAGTGGACGGAAATTAAGTTCCTCTAGCAACTTGCACTGTACACTGTACCACCATATTAAATGTAATCTAAACACGTTCTGTAGTTTCGGAAACAGCAAGCAGATCAGGAACGCTATCTGCTCGTTATGCGTCCTTTGGGCGCAGTCTTCAGCCAACGCGCAAAATGAGAAACATGTAGTCAGTAATATTAACAAGAATAATGCCCCGAGTACTGTGTCGCCAAATCTTGAAATACGAGTTCATTTGTGTATTTAAATTCTCTGAAACCTTGTGTAGTTACGTTGCAAAGGAGCGACTGCGGGATTTAATCATTAAAATTCTGCAGAATCTATTAGGTAATGAAAAAAAAGTGTTTACTTTTCATTGCTTGTAGCAATAATTTTTTTAAAGACGAATGAACAGTGGAGTTGTCGCTTTAGATCTTGGGAACAGGCTGTTGAAAGTAGCATTATCACCCGTGTGTGAACAGGGTTGGTCCCGGCATTACAAAGGGGCTTACACCAACGAATATATTTTCCATTATTTCTGTCACAAACTGTTGAAGCTCTGGGACTTTATCAATCGTCTAACTTATTAATTAACTAGAGCAACGCGCTCCTTTCGGAGCGCTTTCTCTACAGTCCTTCCCGTTCTTTGTCTATAATTTCCCGTTTTTCGTCTATCAGTTTCTGTTGATATTTAATACTTCGTTTTTCAGCGTGTTTTTTTTTGATCTTCTGTTAAATATATCTGATGTTTTAGTTCTTTACGTCGCTGTTCAGAGGCCAACTGTAAAATTCTCGAAAATGTTGTAGATCGTTTCGGACACACTCTGGAAACCAATTCTCAAATCTGGTTTAAGGTTTTGTCGTATTGAAAGGACATTATGTATGTTTTGAGGCTGTCTATATACGTTTGCAATCTCGGAGATCAATTGTGCACCATTGTTGTCGCCGTTGTAGACATTGAATATCATTTATTTTAGACTTTCAACAAACGTGGCAGCTGAATGCAACATGTTTATTGAGGAAATCAAAAAGCAGTCTGATCCATTGACATTCTCCAGTTTCAAATGTTTTACCGCATCCTCCTGGACCATCAATGTAGAAGTATGGTTTTTCGACAGTTGTTTTTCCGACTATATGATTAAGTATAATGTCAACGATTTCCTTTTGTTTCTCGTTCAATGATTTGTACATTTCTTCGCCAAGTCCAATGTGTTCCTCAACAGTTAATTCTTTGTTATTTACTGTCTGTAATTTTTTAATT